CGCTGACACACGTGCCTTCAACGCACTCCGATATGAAAAACTCTTCGAATATCTCCTTTGTCATTGTGTTTCGGTTCCGGTTAAGATAACAATGTTGTCAAACTTCGGAACACACCCGCATCTATCAGAGTGCACAGCCAGATTTCCCGAGGGTGACGATCTACCCGACAATGCATGTTCCCTGGGCCTATCACTTATGCAACGTCCCGATTGGCCTCTGTATACATTGCCTCACGATAAATGAATCTTGTAAACCACGCCCTCGCTACACTCCACATGGCTCGTCTTATGTTTATTTGACAGACACCGACGCGTGTCTCCCCTCGTCCCACTTTTCCACATATTCTGCTCAATTTTTGAGGAGCTGAGAGTAATACAGGAACCCCATGTTTTTGCTAACACTCACAGAAAAAGGGGTGTATTCTTACACCCTTTGTTTCATATAATACACCCCAAAACTTCACTTCGACGTAGAGCGCAGTGACGTCCATCTGACGGTACTAGCTTTCACGAGAGATTTGATAGCCGTGTGGTACAACCCTTTAAAAATAGCGAATGTACGTGTTACTGACTACAAAAAAAACAAAAAAAAACGGTGTTTTCTTGGCTTTAGTGCAAAAACCTCAGTGTTTTCTTTCTGTGGTATTTGATACGTACTTTAGCTATTTAATAAGTTATATCGCACCGTTATCAAGCCCTCGCAAAATTTCGGGCCGTCTGTTCGACTATAGTTCGCTGTAGTACTTCAAATTGAAGTTTTGGGGTACATTATATGGGACAAAAGCGTGTAAGGTGACTCCCTTTTTTTTTAAATGCACTCTCTTTATGTTCTGGCTCAACTTATGCACATAAGGTATTACAACTGGTCTACGCCTTGGCTCCCCTCTTACGACACCACATCCTCCCCGAAGTTTCTTTATCAGGCCTTCTGCCACCGCCACAAAGAGTGTAGGTGGAAAGCCTTCTTCCTCTAGCCTCACAACCTGCAACCTAAAGCTGTCTTTTATCGTATGTGGGCAAGGCTTCGTTAAAAAGCAACTCCGCTTAATTTGAAAAATTTTGAGATAGTGGCCGATTTTGCTTTTTGAAGCACTCAAAAACAATCCCCAATCTTTTGTTTCGCGAAAAATAAAATATTTTTCGTGTAATTTTACTCTAGCCATGATCACAACCTGAAACCGAAACGGTGGCAAAGCCGGACAACATTGTATATTCGTCATCACTAAGCATGTACACCCACGTGATATACAAGGGGAAGAAGGAGCTCCCCTCTTATCAGGATCCTCCTTTGTGCCTCCTGGATTAGCACCAGGCGTCGCTATTCTCCTCCCAGAAGATTATAGAAGATTAACCTGTCACTCAAAATTCTTACAAAAGCAGCTTCCCTCTCCTCCTTTTACTTGGTGTTCAAAAGTATGCGATGTAACACAAGCCGCGCTCAACGAGGCGATCGGCTTATCAGTAGTATCAATAGTCGAGCGCCGGGCCGGCCGAGCGCGTCACTCACGTCTTTCACGGCGCTGGCGCCACCCGTGCTCTCCCCGGAAAAGAAGACAAAATTGAAAAAAAAAAAAGAAGCTGTACATGTTTGATGACGTCGCGGACGTGCCGGGAAAAGGAATTTGGAGGAAGCGGAAATGCAGCTGGGCAGTGTTGTCTGGCCCGCACGTCTCATCCAAAACCATTCTTTTCCAGTAGTGCAAAACTATACAGTTCTCTTTGTTATCATCTACGAAACCCCCATGGCAAATATTACGACGGAATTCCGCCTAGAAGTTCATTAAAATCGCAGTCAAGGTTTGACAAGCACGAATCCACTGGTTTTGGATGAGACGTGCGGGCCAGACAACACTGCCCGGCTGCATTTCCGCTTCCTCCAAATTCCTTCTCCAGGCACGTCCGTGACGTCATCAAGCATGTACAGCTTCTTCTCTTTTTTTTTTCAATTTGGTTTTCTTTCCCGGAGAAAGCACGGGTGGCGCCAGCGCCGTGAGAGACGTGAGTGACGCGCTCGGCCTGCCCGGCGCTCGACTATTGATACTACTGATAGGCCCATCGCCTCGTTGAGCGCGGCTTGTGACTGACGTCACATCGCATACTTTTGAACACCAAGTAAAAGGAGGAGAGGGAAGCTGCTTTTGTAAGAATTTTGAGTGACAGGTTAATCTTCTATAATCTTCTGGGAGGAGAATAGCGACGCCTGTGCTAATCCAAGAGGCACAAAGGAGGATCCTGATAAGAGGGGAGCTCCTTCTTTTCCTTGTATATCACGTGGGTGTACATGCTTAGTGATGCCGAATATAAAATGTTGTCCGGCTTTGCCACCGTTTCGGTCTCGGTTTGTGATCATGGCTAGAGTAAAATTACACGAAAAATATTTTATTTTTCGCGAAACAAAGGATTGGGGATTGTTTTTGAGTGCTTCAAAAAGCAAAATCGGCCACTATCTCAAAATTTTTGAAATTAAGCGGAGTTGCCCTTTAAGGAAGCCCTCAGGCATGTAGAGGCAATGCCCCCCTTAATTACTTTCGAGTGATTAGAATCAAATGGTAACACCCCTTTCTTAGCCCTAGGGGAATAAAACCAACAGACATGTGAATGCCGAAATAAAAACATAAGATCTAAAAACTGGAAGCTATCATCCCTGGGACTTTCGCTCGCAGTGGCGTACCAACTTGTTCTTGAGTGAGGGGGCCAAACCAGTTCCCCCCCCCCTCTCCCCTCCGGGCCGAGGGGCGGTGCTCTTGGTATTCCTTGGGCGCCGCCGGACAGTGTTTGCCCTGCCCAGTGGCGGCTGTTTCAAGGGGGGGGGGATAGGGAAGGGGGTGCAAAACACATACCTTGCCCCCCCACTATGAGAACTTGGGGGGGGGGGGGGAGCGCCCCCCCTTGCCCCCCCCCCCCCCCCCCCGGGTTGGTACGCCCATGTTCGCTTATGAAACTGAGCCCTGAAGCACTGTCCGTAAATACTCCTAACATTCTTGAAGTGAAGCCCTCTCTTTCAGAATCCTTCTTCGAACGAAGAAACACCAGGTAATCGTCCACATACCTAAAAACACGAATGATTTCATTCAACCGTCTTTCAATGTCTCTGTCACACTTTGCTAAAAACAGGTCGCTCAGCACGGGCGCCACGCTCGGCCCAATACATACACCCTCCTTCTGTACGAACTTTACCGCTTCATAAACAGTATAGGCAGAGGTCGAATGGAAGCGTAACAAAACTCAAACACGCCACACTCATTCTGAAACTTTAAAACTCCAAAAGGGGTATTCACACGAGGGAGAAATCCCCGGGATTTCTCCCCGGCACGCGCATCCCACGACGAAAGCGTCAGGCTTTGCGATGTGCAAAAGCCTCGCGTTTTCATCTCGTGATGCGCGCGTGTCGGGGAGAAATCCCCGGAATTTCTCCCTCGTGTGAATACCCCTTAACCGCCTCAAAAAGTGCCTCGTGAAAATAGAATAAAAAAGGTCTTCGACGTCGAAGGAAACCGCGCCACAAGTACCGGGGTTTGAATCTTTAAGGAATTCCACCACACTGTCGGAATTACTGACCCTAAAAGGATCGCGTAAATGGAGCTGCGACAGGTGTCGTTGAAGGTACGACGACACTTGTAACTGCCAGATTGACAGATTGAAAGCGTACGACCGACGCTTTCAATCTGTCAAGGCCCAGGTTTCGAAACATTTCAATAGCCTTATCAGTGAAACCTTCTTCACCTCCTTAAATATTTTCTCCAGCGCCTGGTTTCCCCTAACCAAAAGTCACCTTCGGTTATAAGGACGAACCCCCCTCCCCCCTCCTTATCTGTTAACACCAACTTGAGTTGTTCTTCCAAGCAGAAGGATACAACCTTTGCCACGTTAGGTCCTTTTGGGGCACCCCTTCTCCGAGGGAGGGCGTCAACCTCATCCAAAATGCATCGTTCCCTCTCATCTCATACATCATCTCATCCCACATTTCTGACTAGCGTAAGCATTTCCGGAGGCTTGAGGCTTGTCTCACACGCAAACTTGAGTCCTTTCTCCAGAATCTTCGCCACCTCTTCAGGTACGTTGGTGTCACCCACAATTATCACGTCATATACGCCCCTCTTTGCTCTCTTAGACGGCTTCGGTACCGACAGAAGTAGTTGTCACCATAGAAATTCCGTGTTCTGACTAGCCTGGCTTCGACACTCTTTGACCTTCCACTCAGCCACCCGAAGCGTTTTTTTCATATCGGAGTGCTTTGAAGGCACGTGTGTCAGCGCTCCATCGACAGCCCTGTTTGGCTCTGAGGTAGCGTTTTTAAAATCTTTCGTAAAGTAGATATAGTAGATAGACAAGCACTGATTGGATGATGTCGCATTTCTGTCGTACATGTCGTGATTTCACGGTGTATATATATGTATGTTTCCCGAGAATAAACTTCAGTCGCGAGTAGAGCTCTGTGTTGTTCGTTTCGTTTACTTGTCGGTTGTTTTTAAGCGCTTTTACCCACAGAATTATGGATCACCAACTAGCCCAAGTGCATACTCTTCTACAGTTTAACTAACTATCATCACTCGTTACATATTCGAAAATTAACAAAAAGACATTACTCGTTCATTCTCGTAGAAAAGTAACTACAGCATATAAACTAACGCTTCTAAGGCACTTTAGACGACCCGCAAAAAGGTGGTTGCACCTTTGTAATAAATTTCAGGGCGATACGTTGAGAAACCGATTTTTGCGTGCCATCTAAAGTGCCCTAGAAGCGTTGGTTTACATGCAGTAAACGTTTCTTTGTTACCGAAAGAAGTAACTATAATACAAGGAACGCGGTACATTCGGTTTCCCGACATCTTCCTCAACATGATATATGATCGCAGATAATGTGTATCCCTCGTGTTGACGGACAAAGTTGTCTCAGTGTGATTACGCAAGCAAAGAGAACCTCGTCACCCGAAAGTAGAGGCTTGTTTATCTCTCTACCTGCAGCTGCCGTTGAATCGAACAAGGCGTCCGCGTGATAAGGGCCACCGCAATCAGCGGCCGGGAAGAGCGGCGCCTTCGCGGACCTCGCCTCTGCAGTCTGCTTCCGACTCGCCAGACTGGCCTGGGTGCTTGTGCGAACCGGACGAGAGCTATAACAGAACGGGATTTGGGAAACTGGTTCGCAATTAGTACCGCGAACTCCCCTCGCCTGCGCTGCCAGGGAACGACCCTTCGGCGACGCTGTGGGGGCAGGGGCGAAAGCCTGCGTCTCGGTCCTCTGACACAGTCGGCTCGCCGTCGCGGAGGCAGGTTGACGTCGCCACCGTTCAGCTCTCGCCATGGGGCCCTCGTTGAAGCTGGTGATCTTGCTCGCTCCCGTGCTCGTCGCGTACGCCTTCATCACCTACATCGAGGTGCGGCTGCCGTTAAAGGTGAGACCACAATCGCTGCGAGTTAGTATCAGCGTCTTTGAAGCTCTACGAGAATGATAATATTGTTCGAAATAATCTGCGGCTCAGCCAGTTTCAAGGGTGAATTGAGTACACAGTATCAAAAACGATGACATTGAGGATAAATTTTCGAAGTGATATATCGGGTCTCTGCTCTCTACACGACGCTCATTCGAGATAACTCCAGATTACACTCGAAAGTGTGAAGGCATTGAATGGGTCGAAATTAGCGATCACTGGGGAACGAAAGAAACACCGTTCCCATAATTCCTTGAGTGCGGGCTGGGGAGCTTCGGGATTTTGAAAATAGTCTCTCTGCCTCTTCCTCTCGCACCCGATCACAGTCGTCCTATCTCGATTTGACGCTCGGATCCATATCTTTGTTGGCGTTGTCAACGATTCACAGGATTTCGTCATCGAGATTTGCGACCCCCCCCCTCCCCCCCCCCCCCCCCCCCCCCCAGGGGCGTAAATGCCACTCATACAGTGGACCCGAGTACTGCGTGAGCATTCCATTTGGGCTCGTAACAATCAACGCTTCAACACGCATTCGGGTGTCGAGGCATCGTGGTGCACTGGGACGACGGGAAGAGCCAATTGAACAGGCAAATTTGGACACGCGTGTAAAAAAATTAAATTTACGCGAAATATGTATATATATATATATACTTTTTTTTTTCGAGCTATATTGACGGCGTGGAGACGGGATTTAGTCGGCAGTCACCTCCTTTCCACTTGTTTTCTCTCGGCATTTCGGGAGCGTGGAGGAGAGGTGAATCGTCTTCACCTTCGCGTTGAGGTGGAAAGACCGAAAGACCAAGATGGTCATTCCGGAATGACCCGTGACGTCAAGGTCTTTGCACGCAGACTTCCAAATAAATCTCTCGCCGTCAATATTACTCTAATTTTTTTTCGCGTAAAATTAACTTTTTGCACAAGCGTTTCAATTAGATTCTTAAAAATAATTTTATTTTTTTATTTTTTAGGTTTTTTTTTTAACA